CATACATATTTCGAGAAAAACTAAAAAAAAAACGAAATTATAAGAATTTGTGAGATTTGACATAACACCCGCAATACAAAATACATGTGGTTGTTGTTGTTGTATTCTTGCCACCACCTTGTATAAATTCGCCTCTTGCAAAAACAAAATGCAAGACTTTGCCATGCTAAACACTGTGGCGAAGCGAGAGAGTTATATTGACAAATATGAGCCACTATGATTCAATTGATTCATGTGAGCCCTACGGCATCAACTGAGTTACTGAGTTACATTTTTTTTGGACAGGGAGTCTGAGTTACCGATTCACTTATAGGAATCAACTCAATAACTCAACTCTGAGTTGAGTTACCCACCTCTACAAGACGTCTAAAATAACCATGATGCAATAATGAAAGGTGTTGTACGTTGTGACAGCTCGAAATCGAACTACCTTAGGTCAATATTGTATTTTGGAAGTACAAGATAAACGGGAATAAAAAAAAGCCTTTTAGTTGAAAAAGTACTAAATTGTATGCCTTCTCAACAGCGTTCCGATTATCAGAAAAGGTATATATGTATATGGCTTGGTAGTCTCATAAAATTGTAGATAATTAAAATAATAAAATTAGGCGTGTTTTTATTTACAGGAATATGATAATATGCTTAAAATTTTCGAGCTGATGAATGCCCAGCTAGAACAGTATGGCTTATATAATTCCTTTTATGAGCCGTATCACTAAGAAAATTATCCCTTATGAATTTGAAATGTGTCCCTTATATTGTACAGGCCAAAAAGAGGAATTCATTTACGTGTGATCTTTTGTCCCCCTCTTTGATATAGGCTTCTTGTGCGCATATATCAGGTTTCATAGCTGTTGACCATACCAATAATGCCTCATGCTCAGTTTTACTTGATCAATTCGTGTTCTCGAGAAAAAAAATTTCACGATTCAAAAATCTGAGTATAGCCGCCAAATTCTTTTCTCAAAATTTTGAAAATTCTTTGTTTTTTGCCCTATATTTGCTTTGTATGGTATTTTCAACAAAATATAGGCCAAAAACGATAAATGTTCAAACTTTGGAGAAAAACAATTTTTCAGATTTTTGGATCGTGAAAATTTTTTTTCTCGGAGAACACGAATTGATCTAGTAAATCTTAGTATGAGGCATTATTGGTATGGCCAACAGCTATCAAACCTGATATAGTCGCACTAAGGTTTTTTTGTGTTCCACAGTGTTATACAAGGGATACTTTGAGGAATCATATAAGGAATTATACATTACCCAAGTCCACGTATATCCAAGTTCGTGTCATACAGCAAGCATTGACTACTTTTTAAAGTTTTATTTATTTGTTTTTGAAATTAACGACATATTTCAGAATTTGTAATTAATACGTTGTGTTCATTTTAGTAAATCCACTTTTTTAATTGTACAAAATTTATTATATACATACAGTATCGGTCATATCAATAGCAACCCCATTTCAAAGTGATATTATTTCCCTCTCATGTTAATTTATTTATTGCTTAGAATTTGCAACAAAAGTAAAGTTGAATTTCTAACAAAACCCATATAAACCGAATTTTAAAACATCGTAGAAAACTACAAAAAATACAAACAATTTTCAACCAAAATTCAAACTTTTTTCTCAGAAGTGTTAGAATTTTTTTGAGCACTCAGTTTTATAGCCCCTTCAATTCTAGTCTAATTATATGCAAGTTTGAAGTGGCTAAAAATTACCTTAGTTTTTTTAGAATCGATTAAAAACAAATCGTGTTTAATCGTCTTCCATATAACGAAAACTTCGACCATATATCGATGGCTGAGTAGAAGATCGACCTATCTCGGCAGCCAGGTCGAAAACGCCCGATATCAGAAAGCTTTTCAACGCCCTATTTCAAAATTTGGCTGAAAAACGCCCTATTTTAGAATTTGATTGAAAAATGCCCTATCTCGGAACTCGGTTCAAAAACACCCTATCTCAGCACATTTTCGAAGTATTTTTATTTGAGATAGGACTTTTTTGAACCGACTAATAATAATAAAATATGTACTATATACATATCTAGTTTCAATATAAAAAAATTTATGTACACCATTAATTGTGTATACATATCTAAGTCAATATATGTGATATACATGTACATACATCTACATACATATCGTCGTTTAAAGTACAAAACCATGTATCAATAAATTGCAAAACCGCGTATAGAGATAATGCAAACCCACGTATGCGAGGTTGCATAAATTAATTTCTAGAGAGTAAAAACACTCATATTTCAAAATGGTTATCTTTTTGTAAAAAGCAATCGCATTTTTGGCTAGTATATTTCAGGAAGAATGGATAAGGATTGATCCAAAAACGTGTGTGAGCGAATCCAATTTTTAGCAGCAAATGTCAGTTACGCGGTTTTGTACTTTAAGCGACGATATGTATGTTAACAGGAACGCAGCAATCTAATACACGGGTGGAGCAGGAACGCAGCACAGCAGAAGCATACAAAAAATCTGCAAATAAATGGTTTTTTAGGTTTTTAACAAACGAGAACCTGGTTTCAACTTACTTCAACGTGTCTAAATCACAACGCACACACTAATGCAAAGGCGCAACAGGAACGCAACACTATAAAATACGGGCGGAGCAATATACAGGCGGAGCAGGAACGCAGCACAGCAGAATCGTCCGAAAAATCTGCGAATAAATGGTTCATTAGGTTTTGAAATAACAAAGAGCTCAAATGGAATGGTTCATCAATAAAGTCAAAATAATATGTTGTAACTTACGTGTATTAGCTCTTAATCACAATACCAGCACAGGTCGGTCAGCGAAACACTAAGGAAATGACCTAATAAATGCAAAATTATAATTTATTTGTAAAATAATTCGGTTTTATTACAATACTTACCAAATTTCACGCAATTGGAAAACAAATGTCAGCGAATAAGAACAAAACGAACAACGAAAATTGAATCAATGTAGCTTGTTCAGAATTTTTTTCTAATATTTTGGGAAATGTTCAGTGAAAATAGCAAAGAAACAACACAGTTTCTCCTAAGGTAGTTCAAGATGGCGGATTAGAGCGAGAAGTTGCCAACGTATAACACCTTTCATTATTGCATCATGTAAAATAACTAAATGCTTTCAGTATAATTCAACGGGGAGTGAAACATTTGTATTACAAAATAGGTATGTATTTATCTGAGCTCTTACAATTACCAATGCTTAAATTGGAACTTACACCTGGGCTTTATTTGATTGTGTACCTATGAAAAATTTTGTAAATGTGCGACGGCAATTCTTTTTGGCGGGGAAGGAGCTTTAATGGACTTGTACGAATATTAATAAAACCTTTGCGCACGAATTTTCATATATATTTTGGCCCCCCAATTACGTAGTTCGCTCTCTCATTCTTAATTCGCACTGGAATTACCCTTCGTAATTCGCCATACATAATTTTGAGAGCGAATTACCTCATTTGTAGGTAATTCAGATCGAATTATCATACGAATCACGAACGAATCGGTGCCTTCTCTAATATTTATCGAAAATATATCGAAGTTTTTACCGGGCTTGTCATCTGTGCTGGCACTTTTTCTAGTTGTTAGAAAATTAACTAATAAAATATTCTCTACTGTGACTTAAAGAGCGAATTACGAAGCGTAGAAACATCGTATTACCTCATTATTTGATAATTCAGATACAATTACCAGGCGAATTACGAACAAATCGGTGCCGTCTCTAATTTTTATCGTAAATTTATCGAAAATAGCCCACAAATCAAAACTTGCATTTTTCTGAGTACGAAAAGTAAAGTTTATAAATGTGTACATCCCTAATTTAATACGGAAACTTATAAATTTTAAGGAAGAACCTAAATTTTGCATCAATTTTGTAGTGAAGAAAACAAGAACAAAACACAGATACAGAGAACTGCCAAATCTAATGAAGAATGTGCTCGTGGGAATTGGGTAGCTCGTGGGAATTGGGTAGTTCGCGATCGTAATTGGGGGAGCTAAAAAAGTAATTCTGGGGCCGAATCACGGCTCTCGTGAACGAGTAACCGGTCGAGTAGAGTAAAATTTCGATTCGAATCGAATAGGCAAATCATGGCACTCGATTCGCAAGCTAGCGAAATTTCTTCGATTATTAATCGGTTGCCAATTAGTAAATGTATCATCTTTAACCATTTCTCAAACGTAAACAAGAAATAAAATATTCATATCAGTTATTATAAAATGAATATTTCAGTATTTTTTTATTCGAGCTCGTCTGATTCTGATAATGAAGTCAGTCAAGTGCAGATACGGAGAGGATTACGTGACAAAAGCAATCCCTTAAGTTTACCAGCAGCAGCGTAAGTTTTAATGATTCTAACCTTTCTAGTAGGTATTTGTTTCATACGTTAAAGTTCTTTATTTGCAGATTCAAAAAACGTTTCCGACTGTCAAAACCTGCGTTCGAGTACGTGCTTTCGGAGCTTGAGTTTGAGGGGCATATGTCCACATCAGTACCCTCCGTCTTGCAATTAGCTGCTACGTTATCGCTTTTGGGAAGTGGAAGTTTTCAGCACGTAATCGGTCAGGATTACCTAATAGGAATGGCTCAGAGTACAATGAGCAAGACGATAAAATATGTTCTTCAAGAAGTGGAAAATAAGCTTTGTCCGAAATTCATAAAATTTGCCCGGAAAACTCGGAAGAATGCATTGATACATTCTTGAGCAAATACAAAATTCCTGGCGGTATGAAAAATGACAGCTACAACTGTTTTATGGATTATTGTACGTATTTTCTTTCACAGTTGTCGGATGTGTTGACGGAACGCACTTTGGACTACAGAAGCCTACTTCAAATGAGCACATGTTTTTCAATAGGAAGGGATTTCACAGCCTTAATTCAATGATAGTGCTTTTCTTTTAATAACAACATTAAGTCAAGTGTAACTTACTAGTTACATATATGTCATTTTTTAGATCTGTGACCACAAGTACAACATTTTGGCCATTGATTCTAAGTACGGAGGAGCCGCTCATGATTCCTTTGTGTGGAAACATTCTGCACAGAGGATGTACTTAGAGGACCAGTACAACAACCACAGTTTGAAGAATAATTGGCTTCTGGGTAATAATCGTAACATTATTTTTTTGTCATTATGTGAGACTTTAATTTAATGTTGTACAGGTGATTCCGGGTATCCTTTGGAACCATGGTGTATTACTCCATTCAGAAATCCCGAGGAAGGATCCAGGGAAGCAAGATTCAACGAAGTTCATACTAAAGCCCGGTGTATTGTAGAGAGAACAATAGGTATTTTAAAAGGGCGATGGAAAATTTTAAATAATGACAAAAGAAGCCGGTACACTCCAGAAAAGATGGCTGTTTTCGGAAATGTTTGCGCTGCGTTACACAACGTTTGCATACAATTTAATGTTACATTTCCATCTCAGCAACCAGTCGAACAGCTTCTCTCTGAAGTAATCGTAGGGAGTGAGACAAATCTAAATAGAATTGGCAATAGAGTAAGAAATCATATCATGTTGTCTTTGTAAACTTTTAATGATGACAAGTGCTTATTTTTAAAACATTTAAATGTAAATTAACGTAGCTTTAATGAATAAGTAATTTAATGCGTTTCATGTACACACTGGTGGCCCGATAATCAGAAACGATATTCTTTTACAAGTTAATACCATCTATTTTTATTTATTAGTTTCACTTTTTTTTTTTAGAAAAATATAGTGCATGATACAACGAAAAACGTGTAACTCAAAGTTTTAGACTTTGTACACAATTTATANTTTTTTAATTGAAATTTCTAGAAAAAACTCGCGTATGCAGTATGCAAGTTTGATTAAGCTCAAAAATGTCGTTGATTTTTGAGATTTCTTTTTTGCTGTCGAACATGCTTTGTGTGGAATAAAACGCTTAACATCGTTATCGGAAAAAATTCTCAAAAATCAAAGAGATTTTTCAGCTAATTCAAACCTGCACGATGTTATACTAAATTTATATGGGCTATAAAACTGCATACCCGAATTTTTTCTGGAAATTCCAATCAAAAAGTTTGAAATTTCGTTAACTTTTTTTTAACTTACTCAAATTATTATAAATTTTGTACAAAATGTAAAGCTTTGGGTTACATATTTTTCGTTGTACCATGCACTATATTTTTCTAAAAAAAAAGTGAAAACTATAAAATAAAAATAGATGGTCTTATCTTGTAAAAGAATATCGTTTCTGATTATCGGGCCGCCAGTGTACATACTTGGGTAATAGACTAGACCGACAATTATGTTTTTTGCTTCAATAGAATTTGGACAGAACTAAAACTATATTTGGGATAAGTAATATAACCTTTCAAAGTTTCCGAAAAATGCATATTGATACAGCATGAAAATGAGTTTTGTATGGAATTTCAAAAGTGTTGAATCAGACTACAAAAACTTTGATCAAAACCTGAAGATTATGAAAAGGTTAATTTTCTACATAAGTAGCTTCTTTATAATCTTCAAGCTTTGACCAAAACTTTTGCAGTCTGATTTAACACTTACAAAATTCCATACAAAATTCATTTTCATTCTGTATCAATATGCATTTTTCGGAAACTTTGAAAGGTTATATTACATTTCCCAAATATAGTTTTAGCTCTGTCCAAATTCAATTGAAGCAATAAACATAATTGTCGGTCTAGTCTATTGGGTATGAATAAAACTCATATTAATAAGTAATAAATACATATTTATAAATGCACATTCTATTCATTCATTTTGGATCTTATAGCTTCTAGTCGTAAAGTTTTAATTTCCAAGTCAATACGTTTTTCCTGCATTATGAGCTCATGTTCCTCTTCTTTAATCGCTAGAGACCTCTGCTTCAGCTCTATCAGAGTATCCAGTTTTGCATGAAGCACTTCACTTGAGTCACCTAGTCCTTTTAAGTTCGCCTCCAAAAGCTTTAATTTCTGTGACTCGGTCGTAGCGGCTTCTTGCTTTT